TAAAAAAAAAAAAGAAAAAAAATGCTAATAATAAAAATGTAGATAAGTTTAGTTTTGTAGCCTCCCTAACCTAAGCAATTAAGCTCGAAGGGGTGTTTTAACACCTAATACCCTAAAGTCAACTAACTTGGGAGCTATTGGCCCAACGCTTGTAACATGGGTTGAGGAGAAAAGCTTAAGGGAAACAAATATTGCACTATCTACATATGAATATCTGCAACCCGAGTTATTAAGCTCGTAGGGGTGTCTCAACACCTAATGCCCTAAGACCAACTGGTCTGGGAGTCATTAGCCGAAAGCTCGTTACATGAGTTAAAGATGCATGGTGTTTTAAGTTATATGTATATATATAAAAAAAAGACAAAAAAAAGACAAAAAAAATAAAAAATAATCCCAATCTAAGGAAGTTAACCTTAAACATTAGAACAAAAAATTTTTGTTTTCTTTCAAGAAAAGCCCCATAATTATGTGTTGATACATTGAGCATAAAAGAAAGGTTTATTAATATCTTGTTAAGAGGTATTGAGCAGATATATAAATTTAATGAGAGTTTGTTTATCTGGATGGATTAAAGGAAGTTAAATGATGAATACCTTGCTTTGTGGAATATACAAATTGTTTTTCTATTTTACGCTTTGATTACTAGGGACTAGTAATAAGCTGGTTGGGGGGTGTGATTAGTACTTAAAAGTGCATTTTTATCATGGTTTTATATCATCATTTTGCACTTGAAGTATCAATAACTCCTTAACCAAAGCATGTTTTATAATAATATATCTAATAATATAAGATACCTTTAATTTGTGGTAAATGTCTATTTTTAATGCAGGCCTATCACATAAATGAAAGGATTGATTGATGACTTGAAGAACTTAAATTGCAAGGATAAAGAGATGGCCAAACTTAGAAAAGAGATGTCGGTGCAATCCAAACCGGAACACTGTTCGGTAATTGGGTCATATCTGGAGCTACAGATCTCAGATTTAGGTCCAATTTATATGGATGGAAAGGTAAGACATAGGCCTACAACTTTCATATGGAGCCCAAGATCTAAAAAGGCCATTATCAAGTCCAAATTGTAGCAACAACAAAGAAGCCCGAATCTGTCTTCCAGCCCGAGCACTGTTCGGTATTTTGGCCATATCTGGAGTTCTAGAAGTCCAAATGAGCTGAAATTTTTACACAAGAAAGCTGAGACAATTGCCTACAACTTTCATGTTTACAACTGGCTCCAATTTTGACGTTATCAATGACGTTTTGGGCAGACAAGAGAAGATAAGGATTGTCACCAAGTCAAAAGTTGGTCACCCACTTATCAATTAGTCATCAAATCAATAGTTCCCATTTTTGGCCTATAAAAGGAGGCATTTGCCATGCATTTAGGCATCTTGATTTCCAGATCAAGATCATGCTCTTCCTTTCTCTCTTTGTATTTTTTATGCTTTGTTTTCATTAATATTAAGTTTATGCCTTTCATTTCCTTTCCTTTACTTAGTTAACTTTTATGTTCTTATTTTGTTTATCTATTTTGCTTTCTTTCATTATGTCTAGCTAAGTTAATTATGTCAAGGTGAAAAGGTTACACTAATGGTGTAAGAATAAGTATAATGTAAACTTAATATGGACTTTAATGTTTGATACTAACATGTTTTATATTTGCTATCTTGTTCACTCTTTAATACTTTGCTTGTTAAATGACTAATCTTGATTTATGTTATATAACACTTGGTACAACAAATGCTTGGCACTTTCATAGCCCATAATGTATGGTATAACCGACACCTGAGCTATGAAAGGAACTTGATTTGTTGTTAACATAAGTTATAATCATGAATGCTTGACGAGATTTACAAGTATTAGCATTAATTGAATAAGATGACTAACCGACACTTGTGCTATGAAAGGAACTTGATTTGTTGTTAATATAAGTTATAGTCATAAATATTTGACAACATTTACAATTTTGATATTTAAATAAAATAATTAGTATGATCATGTTAATAATTTATAATGAGCTATTAATGACAAATCATCTGATTGGAACCTCCTTTGTGTATGGTTTCCAGTTGAGTAATAAAAAATATTTATACTATACTTGTTTGAAATATCATTAGTGGATCATCTAACCTTGACAATTATTTTATCCTTGTTTAATCTTACATCAATATCACATCTCAAAACTCTCTTCAACTCCTCTTCTATTATTGTCTATTTCTTTATTTGTAGTTTATACAGTTACTTGTGGTTCGACCTCGGTCTTATAGGGTTATTTATTATTTCGACACTTCTACACTTAGAAAAAGATATCAATCTTTTAGTCGTATTAAGAACCCTAATCTATAATTTAACATTAAAGCATCCATTCATAATTGAATTTGAAATGAATTATAAGATCATGTTTAGAACACCTCATCTGGTAAGAATTAAGGTTTCAATCTTCAACTAGTTGAAGATTTTCGATTCCATCATTCCTTTTTTTCTAATGACAGCCGACCTTCCTCCTACTCTTCTTGTTTAAATTTTCTTATTAATCCCTTCCCTATAAGTGTTTACTCCATCTATAGACTCTTAATCTTGGATGTGTTCTTGAAATTTTAGTGTTTCTTTCTTGATTTTGCAAGAATGGATACAAAAACTTTCTCTCTTCTTTCTATTTAGGTTGCTACAGATTTTTAGTGAGGAGAGAAGTATTTATACTCTATAATTTCTCTTATTTGTACTGAGGGCTCATTTCCTTTAAGTGTATTATTTTTGCCCCAACATCTTTTTATTTTCATCTTATCATCAAATTATACCTCTTTTTATTTCTTATAACTCCACCCTAGAACTTTTAGTTTAGCTTATTTCCCTTAATTTTATCCAATCCTTAACATTCTAGGTTAATTTATAAAGTCTCAAAATATGTTGCCTGGAAATTTATATTCCAAAAATTTTTGAATTCCCATTTTTGTTTAATCCTATGCTTGAATTTCTTCCCTTTATTTCTATTTAGTTAATTTGCAATTTACACAAGCTTATTTTCCTTGTGTTTACACCTGAGTTATTAGACCAATATAATATTATAGAAATAAAATAATAAAATGACCTCTTTTAACCCGGGTTAATTTACTAAGTCTATAACTTTAGTAATGAGATAAAGATAATCCTATAAAGAGAAAATTAAAATAAATTATGAAACTTAATTCTCAATTGCTCTTGTCAAACCTAATATTAAATGATAAAATTTAAAAATATTTAATTTAAAAAAATAATACAAAAAAATTAAGCCTAAAGAACCCCGGTTCACCTATTAAGTATTATTCTCAAGTCATGAGACCGAGATAATATAATAAAAAGAAAACTAAAATAAATTATGAAACCTAATTCTCAATTAAGCATAATATTAAATAATCATATTGGAAAAAAATCAATTAAAAAAATAAATCAATTGAGTTAATTCACCAAATTCGCAACTTATATCATGAGATGATAACGACCTAATAAAAAGAAAATTCAATATTGAAGGATTTATTACTCAAGTTATAAAACTGAGATAATCTCCTAAAAAAACCAATTTAATAATGGTTAAAATGTCAAAACCAACGACCTTAATCATGAGACCAAGATATTCTTATATAAAGTAAATCTAAACAGATTATGAAACTTAATTTCTAGCTAGCTTAGTGTTAAAAAATAAAATTAAAAAAAAATTCAATTAAAAATAAGATACAAAACAACTCGAGTCTACTTAGATTAACTCTTTAAGCACTATTCTCAAGTTATGAGATCGAAATAAATAATAGAAAGTAAAAAAAAAAACAAATCATAAAATTTAATTTTCAATTAATCTAATATTAAATTATGAGATTGAAAAAAAAAAGTTGATTAAACTTTTTTTGAATTATCCAAGTAAACCTACCAAATTAGATTAACTTATTAAACCTATGATATGAGATTACATTAACTTAATAAAAACATAAATTTAATATTAAAAAATAAAATTAAAAAAATAAAATATTATTTTGATAAATAATATTTTCAAAAAGAAGATGCAATAAAACCTCCTGCAGTTCTACAGTTTTAGTTTATAGTTAAAGTTAATTAATAGTTAATGTAAAAGATGAACCTCCCGCACTATTTCTTATATAGAATTATATTTATTAGATTATTTATTTTTTATTTAGGCCTTGTTTGTTTGCTGAAAAATAATTTTTTTCAGAAAATAAATTTTAAGAAAGTGAATTTCAAGAAAATAAATTTCAGAAAAATGAATTATTTTCTAATATTCGGTAATGTAATGAAAAATAAGTTGGAAAACACTTTTTAGTGTCTTATTATGTAATGAAAAATAAATTAAAAAATAATTTATTAATAATTTATTTTTTCATAAATTATCTCAAATTTATAATCAAAATAATAGAGCTCAAATTTAACAAATAAAAAAATTAAAAGATGAAGAAATTAAAATAATAATAATAATTATTTCATAAATTATTTTAAATAAAATAAGTAACAATAAAAAGAATGAGGATCAAATTTAATAAATAAAAAATTTCAATTAAAAAATGATAAAAAAATAAATAATAATTATAAAAATAATAAGCAAAGTTAATATAAAAATTAAATTTTAAGAGATGAGATTGAAAAAAATAAAATTAAAAAAAATTCAAAATAAAATATAAATAGTAATTAAAAGTTTGAGGACCAAATTTGATATAATTATCAAATAATATGATATTTTTAATATTTTTATAATTTTTAGAAAATATTTTCAATCTAAATAAAAAAATACTTACTAGTGGCAAGATAAATTTTTTTAATAAAAAATATTTTTTATTAATTAATGTTTTAATAACAAATAAATATAAAAAAAATTAAAAATACTTTTTAGAAACTTACATCAAATAAATGCCCCCTCATTTAAGCACATTGTAGCAGTATTAGGAAGGGACTAAATTGTAATTTAAAAATGATTTGTTTTTTTTTTTTTGCTGAAGTAAAGAAAAGAAAACGACATTTTTTTTTTTTCTGAAAAAAGAAGAAGAAGAAAGACACAGTAGAGGGAGACAAGAATTGGTTGGAAGATGAAGGGAGCAGGAGCAGGAGCATTGTAGAGAATTGGAGACCCAAACGGTTACCGACGATCGCATAGATTGCTTGGTGCTCAACAACTGAGCGAATCAAAGGGAGAGATGGAGGCATCGGTATTTGCGGTGGAAAATATCCTAAACTACAAATTCAAAAACAAACGGCTTCTAGAGGAAGCGTTAACGCACTCCTCCTACACAGACTCAGCTTCTTACCAGCGGATGGAGTTCTTAGGGGACGCGGCGCTGGGTCTTGCGTTGAGTAATTATGTGTATTTGGCTTACCCTCAGTTGGATCCTGGTCATTTGTCTCTTTTGCGTGCTGCTAATATTAGTACTGAGAAACTGGCGCGTGTGGCCATTAAGCGTGGTCTTTACAGGTTTGTTAGACACAATGCCACTGCTCTTGATGATAAGGTAGGTAAAATTAAGCACCAATAATTATAATTAATCAGTAGGAGTAGGAGTATGAGTAAGCAATTTTTGATTGAAAAATACAGGTTAAGGAATTTTGTGATGCTGTGAGTGGAGAAGATGATGATGATGCTTTAGTGTATGGCGGGTCAATAAAGGCACCGAAGATTCTTGCTGATATTGTGGAGTCTATTGCTGCTGCTGTTTATGTTGATGTCGATTTTGATCTTCAAACATTTTGGGTGGTCTCTTTCTTGCCCTTTTCCTTTCCTTTCCTTTCCTTTCCTTTTCTTTTATCTAATCTATTGCTGCATTCATAAATCTTCTTCTTGTTAACAAAAAAAAAAAAAAAAGATATTTAGGGGTATTTTGGAGCCAATAGTTACCCTCGAAGACTTGCAGCAGCAACCACAACCGGTGACTATGTTGTTTGAGCGGTGTCAAAAGCAAGGAAAGAATGTTGATATTAAACATTGGAAAAATGAGGCCAAAAGTATTGCCAGTGTCTATGTAGATGGACAATTTATCGCTTCCAGTTCGTCTGAGCAAAAAGAAATTGCAAAGCTTAATGCCGCCAAGGGGGCCTTGCTCAAACTATCAAATTCATTCCCTACTAATCTAAATGATGTTTCTCTTCTTGATATATTTGATGGGTCTTCTTTCGAGATTGAAGGCGCCAAACAGAAGTTACATGAACTTTGCGGCAAGAAAAAATGGCCCAAACCAAATTACAAGTATGTTTTTCACCTTACGTGTTCGGTTTCAAAATTTACTTTTTTAGTCAACCCTCCTAGTGAATTCCGTGGAGAATATGTACTTAACGTGAGCGCATGCTCAAATCACAGTATATGTTCTTCAGTTCTATTTTATCATGTGTTCCCATCATTAATTTCTTACCTTTCATAGGGTGCATTTTACTTATCGTTTTGCTGGGACTGACCATTAGTTTGCTATTAATTGCTTCTTGATGTTCTCTTTCCCACCTTTAAGCAAGTCCAACCAGTCTATCAAGGAACTTCAATTTTGTTTTAGAAGGTATGCAGCAGAGTAAAATGGCAAGGTATAAACATGTTTAATCTGTTAGAATTTTGTTGTTTAACTAAATTCAAGAGGCGGTTTGAGGCTTGATAAGACAGAGTCAAGTGAGGAAGTTTTATAAGCTGTTTAATTAAATACTGAGTGCTTTATTGTATTCTGGGACATGATTTGCGCACTCTTCACCTTAGTAATTTCTACAGAAATTAGGCAAGTACCTTGTGCTTTCTGTTAGATGAGATATATTGGTTTACGGTCATGGAAAAAAAGAAGTAGGCCTTGGCTTTGAGGTGGACGGAGAAAACAACAGCATAACTTTGGAAATGATTGATGCATCGTGTTGTAGTAAAATAAAGCCTCATTATGCTGAGTTAAAAGGAATATTAAAGTGCAAACAAGTACCTGGTGCTTTTATGGATTTTTTTCTCCCATTCCAGTGACATGGTTTGCCTTGTTGATAACTTGCCCTAATTCCAAATGATTTCTGTTGATATGACTACAGTTGTATTTAATGATCATGGAAATGATAAAACTTTAATTTGATTAGATCAGCTATCAGTCATTTTATCAGATCATTAAGCGACCTTGTGTGCGGGGTGTGGTGCTGTTTAAGATGTCCTATGATTTGTTATGAACTGTTAAGGGGGAGCGTGTTGAATCGTTTGCTGGATTTTTTGCACAGTTGTGATCTTTTATGTTGATCTAGATTAACAAGGACTGTCTTTGATGATGGTTTTAAATTAACATACTGTGAAAACTGACAGCTGAACCTAGCATTAATCCTGAACTAATACGGCTTAGCTGCACTTGAGGGAATGTTTTTGGTGAGATGCTCAGAAATTAATCCCTTTGTACCACATATCAAACTTTGAAAATTCTGTTTAGGTGTTCCATTTTTCTTTGAAACTTATTTCTTGGAAAATTTACTTGTTATATCCTAGGAAAACATGAGGGTGGATAAAAGTATAACAAACAATAAGAAGCACCCTTTAAAAAAGATTTCTAACCTTGAAGGATACAGAGACCAGAGAGTGAGATAATTTGGAGGGATGATTGCTGTGTTTAACTTGTTATGTTTTGTTAGGGAATGAGAATTTGCTTCTTCTTTAAAAAAGATTTCTAACCTCAAAGGATACAGAGACCAGAGAGTGAGATAATTTGGAGGAATGATTGCTGTGTTTAACTTGTTATGTTTTGTTAGGGAATGAGAATTTGCTTCTTGGTAGATCAACCTGTGATAATTTGGAGGGATGATTGCTGTGTTTAACTTGTTATGTTTTGTTAGGGAATGAGAATTTGCTTCTTGGTAGATCAACCTGAGATAATTTGGAGGGATGATTGCTGTGTTTAACTTGTTATGTTTTGTTAGGGAATGAGAATTTGCTTCTTGGTAGATCAACCTGTGATAATTTGGAGGGATGATTGCTGTGTTTAACTTGTTATGTTTTGTTAGGGAATGAGAATTTGCTTCTTGGTAGATCAACCTACACTTTCCATCTACCATGCATGTATAATTTTCATTGATTTGCTTGTTGTCTCACGAACTATTTACTCTTGCCAATCTAACAGCTTCTAATAATGTTTATTTTTATTTCTCGAACATGTAGCATTGAGAATGATATGGGTCCTCCACATGAGAAGAAGTTTGTATGCTCAGTTCAAATTGCAACAGTAGATGGTATTCTATACGTGACGGGAGACGAAAAAACGAGAGTAAAGGATGCAGAAAATTCCGCTGCTTCATCAATGATCCGTGCTTTACAGGACACTGATTATCTGTGATTCTGTTCATTTGTTTGACTCAAATATGCTACATGGGATGTTATGCCTGGTAGGCTCCTATTCCCCGGCTTAATATCAAATGCTTGGACCACGTAAACTTTTCTTGTCTCAAGGCTGTATTGTTCAAAACTATCATCCGATAGTGTTGCAAGAATTACCTGGATCTTTGCATATAGCTTTTTCTTACAAACCTCCCTGCAGGATTAGTGTGTGATGTTAGGTTCACCGTTCTAGGTGATTTTCATTTAGCTTGGACCTGGGTGTGGGGTTCTATTGGAAAATTATCTTTGTTAAGCAAGTTTAAAGTATTTTCTACCTCATACCTGCTGAGTAGGGGGAAAAAACACTAGTTAAATCGTGACATTTGAATTATAGCATCCTTGCTCTCGCAGGATTAGCCACGAGGTTGGTAAAAAAGTGCAATTCTCACTTTTTATTCTGACCTGGATAGAAGTAGTACGGTCCTATTTGTTTTTTCAAAAAAAAGTTGGATTGTGACATTTGAATTTCATCATCCTTGCTCTCAAAAGATTAACCACAAGGTTGGTAAAAAAGTGCAATTCTTACTTTGGAAGTAGTATGATTTTTTTTGTTTTTATATTTTAAAAAAATTAATATTTTTTTATATTTTTAGATTATTTTGATGTTTTGATATAAAAAATAATTTAAAAAAATAAAAAAATTATTTTAATGTATTTTTAGATAAAATATATATTTTTTAAAAAAACTAAAACTTCACTTTCAAATATGCTAACAATTACCAAACCTTGGTTGCCCAAACATCCAATCATATGTAGCTCCAATTATTAAGAAACACTATAGGAATGATAGTACCCATATCCATGAAGCCACTTCTTGCATTACATCACTCGAAATACAATGAACTCGGTGCTTTGGTTGTGGTCCAATGCTGGAGAACAGTGCAACAAAAGTCCAAATTCTCCAGTTGAGGTTGAGATCTTTAAACTTGACATGTGTTGATTGAAAACAATATCCAGCTTTCATAGCAACGAATATATAATCCAATAGTTATTAAATCTACATTGGATCTACAGGTTAATTTGATAATTTAATGGTTAAATTGATCCGAGTAAAAAACCCCAGCTAGTGCAACAATTCAACAAAATTTATCGATCCAGGTGAGATTTCTCTGTATATAGTTTTTCTACTGAATTTGTTTTTTAATTGATTATTAACCCTTTTTAAAATTTATTATATAAATATTAGAAGAACAATATATTTTTTTAATGTAGAATTTAAAACTTTCTAATATATATTTTATAATTTTTTTTAAAAAATATTTTTTTAATGTGAGATTTAACTCTTTAGTATATATACTCTATATTCATAAAAAAAGTTATGTTTTTGTATTGTGGGATAAAATTTCTTTTAGTTTAAATACTTTAACTTAAAAGAATAACATAATATCTGTTTAATACGAGATTTAAAGAATTTCAAACTCTTTAGTATATATATTTTATATTTCTATAAAAAAGTTATTTTTTCAACGTGAAATTTAAAGTCTTTTCATATATATACTCTATGCTCATAAAAAAAAATTAAATTTTTTCATTGTGGGATAAAAAAAATTTTGGTTTAAATATTGCAAGTTAAAAAGATAAAATAATATTTTTTTCAATATAAGATTTAAAGCTCTTTAATATATATACTCTATATTTATAAGAAAGAAGTTATTTTTTTAGTGTGAGATTTAAAGTTTTTAATATATATACTCTATATTTATAAGAAAAAAATTATATTTTTTCAGCGTAGAATAATTTTTTTTGTTTAAATAATTTTAACTTAGAAAGATAACATAATATTTTTTTCAATATATAATATTTTTTTAAAAAAAATTCTTTAAATTTTATTATTTACAATATGTGTAGTTTATATGTACATGAATTTATATAAATTTTTTATTAATTTTTCATATAAAATATTAAAATTTTAAATTATTTTTAAATTTTTTCAGTTAATTCATAAAATTCATAACCTATACTTAATCAAATCAATTCCACATCAGATTTGATAATTATGATATAATAAACTATTGTGCCCTTGTAAGAGCTTTGTAAAGTATAACGTGTGATTGTTATTTTTACTGCCGTTATGAATAGTTTGAGTGCCTGTTTTGGCCACCTGATATTTTCGCCCCTTTTTAAAGAAGTCTCCGGTTTCAAATGGATGATGCCCTTTTTTCCATAGAAAATACTACCATGGAATTTGCATGCCCCTTGTTCAGTATGCATTTGACTGCTGCTTGATACAATTTATTTTCCATGTTCATTTCTGTCTCAATTGTTAATCCAGAGAGGATAGGCATTCAAGCTACTTCCAATTTAAAGGAGTCAAGTGCCGAATAAGTTCCATTGTTTCAACAAGGGTCTCTCTAAACATCCTCGCATAAATCTTCAGAATCTGACGATCAATGCGCACAGCCTGGCAGCATAGCAGTATACCGATTTAAGAGATAACTCTTCAATGGTTCAATTTTGTATTCTTTTTTTTTTTTTTTTGATTCACGTGGGGTGTCCGGGCCAGCTTGCGCGCACCACGACTAATCCCCACGGCCCACTGAATACCCTGCAAACCCAGTAGGCATGTAAGGCACCGCGGAGGTGACAGGCGTGCACGCCAGGGCTCGAAACCAAATGCAGTGGAAGGAGACAAGTCCTTTCCACCGCTAGAGCAAGCCTGGTTTGCAATTTTGTATTCTTAATTATGTTTTACGCCAATCTTTCTTGCTGGATCACTGAATTTGTTTGCCGATGCCCATTCTAGCCCATAATCTCATTCGTAAGGCCAGGTGCATGATGAGCTCCAACGACAACAGACAGCCAGAGCTGAGCAACTCTGCAAATCAAAGTCGTCTTGATGAAATTTAGAATTTCCAGTTATTGTGTGACAGTGACTACATTTCAATTTCAAGACCACCTTGATTTGCAAAGGATCAACAAAGGTTTTTCTGTAGCTGAAACGGTTTTAGTCTTGAGTTATATGATTATAGAAAATATGTACCGAGTTTTAAAAGTATTTTTTTAAAAATATTGAATTTAATTTTTAATTAAGATATTTTTGATTTTTTAAAATTACTTTAATGTACTAATTTAAAAAATAATTTTTTTAAAATAAAAAAATTATTCATAAATTTTTTAAATAAAAAAATATTTTAAAAAACAACAAAATCATATTTTCAATCACGCACTAAATTACCGCACGTAAGCCCTACAACAGCCAGCCCCTAGAAATTAAACAACGAACACTTCAATCAGCTTTAGGATATAGGACGTCAAGTCAACTAGACAAATTTGATCGATCATGTTGTATTTGATAATCCACCAAATCTTTTAATTTGTGATGAAAAATTGCAGATGGTTGAGTCCTGTTGTATTTTTTTAGCCCACCGAGCCCTGTAGTCATAGTTGAGAAACTGCAGATGAGATTGAAAATGCTGGCACGTTAGGAACAAAGAGATTATAACCTTACTAGTTTCATGGAATAGGTTTATTGTGAAGCCGCCCGAAGAGAATCACTGCAGGGTCGTATAGACGGGAATAACTCTATCCATTTGTTTGGATGAAACTAGAGTTCTTAGAAGAAAATAAACAAGGGTTAACTATAAAAATACCCTGCCTGCTGTTATTAATATTGCTCTTCAGCAATTGCATCCATAAATTTCACCTTTAATATTATGTAATGGGTTCATTCCTTCCAAAACATTTACTTATGTGAATTCTGTTCTAGTTGATGTTTGTTATGTTTTATTGAAACAATAAATTTCAGTTACAGAGTGTTTCAACATTTTATTCCAGGATCCAATACTATGTGTATAATTCAAAATACAAGATTTCAATTCAAATATGAAATGAATTAATTTTAAATTATGTAATATAAATACTATCAAATATCTAAATATAATTTTAAAATTTAAAACATTCAAAAATAGTTAAGAGTCATGACTAAACATAACTTCAACTTGAAGTAACTCAACACAATTAAAATGCTAAAATATTGAGAAAACAAAAAAAGTTTTAATACAAAAGAAGCATAAATCAAACATTATCTCTATTATTAACATAAAAATAAAGATTTTGATCTAGTGATGACATGTAGAGAAACTCATTAATTAGATATTTCAATAGATAATTATTTCCACTAAGTTTATTCTTGTCATAAAATTATATCTCTTCATCATTTAAAGTTAAAGTAGACAAATGCATCTCATTAGTCTTCCAACTTAATTCATATTTAGAAGTCTACTCATTCAATAAGTTAATGGTATTAAGATTAAAGGAATCTACAACATCCTTTTTAATGCTCAAATTCCCACAAACATGAAAGAAGACAATATATATAAATTCAATTTTTTAAAAATAATACCAACATTAATGAAAATATTAATGTTTCCAAAGTAGCTATGAAAGGTTGAGACAATGTTGGGTCGGTAATCCTGCCCATGATAATATATTCCCGCACAGGAACCTGCATGAAGACCAAAAAAAATCCTTTGCTTTGGATGGACACGATGAGAAAAGAGATAAGGTAGTAGGTACAAAATGCATGCTATACATGCATGGTTTGTGATAAAGCATGCTTAAAAGAAATTTGCATATCTTCCATCTTTTAGTATATCAACCATGTCACACAAAAGTCATCTCTATGATTTTTCTTTTTGGGTTAGTTTCTCTATAATTATTTAGGAAAAGAAAGAAACATAATGGCACTAAATGGTGAAAGAGGTGTCCAACAAGCAGGTGATATTGAAAGATCTTGTCTGGTTTGAATTGGACATGACGTTATCACTATTATTATGAACTTGCGATGTAAAAAGAAACTCTTGGGATTCTTGTCAAGAATCTGTTCCCATCATGTGATCCATATATGAGAACTAGAATGTTAAAACTTGATGAAACCCCGACAAATCTTACAGTGACAAGCCTTATTTGATATAGAAATTCATGATAGAAATAGAAACAAATATCTGGATTTAATGTTGATGTCAATCCAAAGTTAAATCATGAACAAACTTACCAAGTTTAAAAAAGAACAATTGTCAAATATTCTATCCAGAACGAAACTAATAAAATAAATCCAGGATATCTCAGATAAAATTTGAATAAGAAATCTATGGTTGTATTTATTTTTTGAAAAATAATTTTTAAAAAATAATTTTTTAAATATTTTTATGTTTGTTAGTCATTAAAAAAATTGATCAATGAAAAACAGTTTCTAGTCAAATGAAAATTTGACTTCGTTTCTAGTAAAATATTTTCCTGAAAAATTTAGATAGAAAACACTTTTTAAAAATTATGAA